ATCTCTCGAATTCTGCCCTCTTGATCCAGTAGTTGTTTATCTCTCTTTTTCTCAGCTTCTTTATTTTCCATCCTTTGGTCTTCTATATCACTAAATCTCTCTTCTGCCTCATTTATCCTAGCAGTTAGAGCCTCCATTTTTGATTGCACCTCATTAAAAGCCTTTTTGATTTCGAAAGCCCTCACTACATTCTTCAGTAGGAAAAATCTTATATATGCTTACAAAATTACCGCTTCTGGTGTGTTTTCGTTACTTTGTGTAATTACACATTTTCATCCGATAAAATTTTCTGTGCTTAAGGGCTTCATTTAACATTTGTTACAGTGCACGTCTGTTGCAAATGAATTATTTCAGTGTTTGTATGTCTGAATGAAAAGATATTTATTTCATCTCCTTTTTGAGGGATAGTTTGGGCATAACATTCTAGGTTGACAGTACTAAAATACTTTGAAGTATTTCTTAGAATACTTTAGAGATATTGCACTGCTCCTGAAAAGAGATCTGTTGTTATTCGTATCTTTGTTCTTCTGTGTGTAATGTGTCTTTTTCTCCTAGTGCTTTTAAGATTTTCTCTTTATCACTGTTTTTGAGCAATTAGGTCATGACGCATCCTTATGTAGTTTTCTTCATGTTTCTTGTGCTTAGGTTTTGTTCAGTTTTACTTGTTTAATTATTGTCAAGTTTGGAGATTTTTAAGCCACTATTTCTTTAAATATCTTTTTTGTCCTCTTTCCCCCTTCTTTAAAGACTCTAATTGTGCATATGTCACTTCGTATTGTCCCACAGGTCACTGATGCTCTGTTCATTTTTGTTTGTAAGTCTTTTAAAAAATTTTTTCTGGTTCTCATTAGGATTATTTTTTAAATTTTTAGTTTTTAATTGTAGTATAGTTGACATACATGTTATAAAAGTTTCAACTCTAGAGCATAATAATTTGACAATCGTATACATTACATAGTGTTCACCATGATAAGTGCAGTTTACCATCTGTCACCATGCAATGTTATTATAGTGTTATTGATTGTATTCCCTATGCTGTACTTTTAATCCCATGACTATTTTATAACTGATATGTTGTACCCCTTAGTCTCCTTTACCTGTTTCTTCCATCCCCCCCCATTCACTTCCCTCTGGCATCTATAATTTTTTACCCTCTATTTATGAATCTTTAAAAATATGGAATGCTTCATGAGTTTACTTGTCATCTTTGTGCAAGGGCTCTGCTAATCTTTTCTCTGTTGTTCTAGTTTTAGTATGTGTGCTATCACAGTGAGTACTGAGATCTTTATGTTGCTCTACTGGTTCACTAATATTTTCTTCTACAGTGTGTAATCTGCTCTTAATCCTATCAAGTGCATATCTCCTCTCAGATGTCTTAGTTTTATCTCATCTCATTAATCTCATTGTAGTTTTAATCATAAATTCAGTATGGTCTTTTTTATGCCTTCAAGGTTTTTCTTAACATGTTTAGTCTTCTGGCTTTTTGAGCACATGGAATGCAGTTATAATATCCATTTTAATGTTCTGGTCTGCTAATTCCATCATCTGTGTCAGCACTGAGTCAGTTTTGATTGATTGGGTTTTTTTTTTTGCTCATTTTGTGTAGTTTTTTTTTCTCATTTCTTCTTATGCCTGCTAATTTCTTTTTCTTTTTTTTTT